TGCCACTGGGCTTTTAAACTGTGTGTAAAACTGCTCAGTGCTGCTGCTGCACAAAGGCCTTCGACAAAGCTCTCTCTGGTTTCCCTGAGGCCGAACTCATCTTTAGAAAGAATTCACAGGGCACAGGGCCCGAGGAACAAAATGAGAATATCACGCTCCAAACAGGGTCCTTGTCTTCATGTTTCAAGTCTAAGAACTCTGGGCGGGGGTCACTGGTTGGTTGTGCTGAGTCCAGGTGCCTATGCCTAATGTGGAGGCGACTGCAATTAGGACCACCCGGGGCCCAGAACATGCTAGGTGTTCAGGTAACATCAGCCACACCCATAACTGATTTATTGGGGTTCAATCATCTACTCTGTGAACAGTTAACACAGCCAGCTTTATGCCTGATGCGAGGTAAGTTAGCGCACAGGCAGAGAGGTGTCGCTCCTGGAGGATCAAGCTTGTGGGGAAAAGGACTCAGCTGCATGTGAGGACACATGTGGGTGCGGGGAGGGTTAAGGCACCGAGAGAAAAAGTAGCACAGTGAGGAATGCCGCGTGTCTGGACGGAGGCCTGGCGGTGGACTGCTGAGACAGGGTCTGGGGCTGCCCCTGTGAGGCTAGGAGGCTGGCTCAGAGAGTCAAGCCAGCGGCTGCCTGACCAGGACTATCCCCATCTGTGCGTCGCCAGGCCCAGTGGGCAGGGTATAAGGCAGGGGTGGGGTGGGTGGAGGGAATGCATCACCAGCCATTTGCCATGCTGCTCACGCCTGTGCTCCTGCTCTGGAGGTGAAAGTTGCAGCCGCTAACCACACTAACCACAACCCATCAGGCCTCCCCAGCTGGACTAAGACAACAGAAGGAAGCCGAGCCACGCTCCCAGCCAAATAAAAGCCCACGTGCCAGGCTCCCTGGCTGTGAGTACTTAAGACAGGGCTGGGTAGCAGACTAGTTCCAGGCCATTTTATTCTGTCGCCTGTGCTCGTGGTGACCGTGGCCTGCCAAACCCTGAAAGCTTTGAGATGCCGCAACCCTGCTGGTTTGTAACATGCTCAGGAAGAAAGGGACACAGCCAGAGGCAGACTTTCTTCTTCGTCCCCCACTTGCACGCTCTTTCCACATCCCATGCGGCAGGCAGAGAAGAACAACACTTCACCTACCACAGGGCCAGGGGCTGGAGACCAGAAATTGATTCCTGACCAGGGAGGGAGGGGCTGGGAGGCTGAGAGCAAGGGAGAGACAGGAGTTGGAGGGATGGGAGTGGGGAGAGGACCAGATTGGGATAGTCCAGGAGCGTGCATGTGTGTGTGTGTGTGAAAGAGAGAGAGGGGTGTGTGTGTGTGTGTGAGAGAGAGAGAGTTGTGTGTGTGTGTGTGAGAGAGAGGTGTGTGTGTGTGTGAGAGAGAGAGGTGTGTGTGTGTGTGTGTGAAACTAGACCCCACCCCCCCCCCCCCCCCGCCAAGGTACCTGCTTGACTTTTTCCCCCAGTCAGGTCCAGTGGCTTGCCAGGTGCCTCCCAAGCACCAGCGAGCAAGGGTCCTTGCAGTGGTCCTGCCATTACTCAGGGTCAGATGACGGCATGAAGAATGTCCCATAGGACAGACAGGGGAGTAGGGTTTAAAACAAAGCTCCTTTGAACACCAGTAAGTAAAAAGCCCGTGGGAGGCTGAGCCCTTCCTCCCATGTGCCAGGCTGTGCCCAGACTCCCACTCTACTCAATCACATCTCCCTCAGTGCACTAGCCTGGGTCTGGGAGAGTGGTAAGAAGGAGCCATTGCTATCTCCTTGGAGCCACAGGCCCTGAGGTGCTGGCACCCTGTGCCTACTGTACAGATGGCAAAGCTAAGGCCGAGACTCACCAGAGACCACAGAGTGGATAGTAGAACATGTGCACACACACTGAGTCTAAGGTAAGGGTGCTGAATCGACCAGTCACTGCAAAGGGTTGGTCTGAAGAATGGCCGAAAACCTAGGTTTGTGTTCCAGCTGCGCTACGGGTAGCTGGGTGACCATTAATTGCTGTCTGAGCCTCAGTTTTCTGATCTGTTAAATGAGTCAATGACAGCATCTACCGCCCTGAGTCCTGTACGATTAAGCACACAAAAGACTGTAGCTATGTCTGGGTCCTGGCAAGGCCTATCAGAAGAGAAGCACAGGGATGACAATGGGAGCTACGTCAGGTAGCCTGAGCTACAGTGCAACTGTCTGCTTTAACCCAGGACTGCGTGTCTTCACCATCCCTTCCATGTCAGCAGCGGGGCTGTGGGCAAGGCATAACCCAGGGCCGGAGCTGTACTAGAAACTCCAGTGTAGCGGCTCTGGGTACCCATCTCTAGCCCTAAGAATGGCTCAGGCCGTGGCGTCATGAGCAGGCTTGTTCCTGAGCTTTGCCTTTGAAGGCATGGCCTGCAGCCTCAGGGAGCCTTTGTGGTGGCCAGTACTTCAAGGCTTCCACCTGAGGTCTGAGTGCCTTCCTGGCAGAGCCCAAGGGCAGTGGGACTCGTGCCCAGCTCTGTCCTGGACCCTGGATGCTCAGAACAATGCAGAGTCTGACACAAATGAGCTGGTGCTTTTTGCGGCAGGGAAAAGGGCAGGTACTGAGGCCTTCAGCCCTGTTCTGGGGCCTGTGGCTGCTGTGCACACGTGCAGGACAAGGTGGAGGGTGGACGGCACACTGTTTCCAGGGCACCTGCACACCTGGCAGCCTTGCACCTGCCCCAGGGCCTGCAGGGCAATACCTGATGTAAGTCACAGCCATGCTTGGAGGCCTCAGTGCTTGTGGCCACCTCAGATCTGCTGGAGAGGTATACAGGTATCTCTGTCAGTTTCATCGCTAGACCTGCCTATTGGGGCTCCACGGTTCTGCACAGAACCAAAGGCCTGGCTTCTGCCGCATCCTCTCACCTGGGAGGAGAGGATGCTGTCTTCAGAGCTCAATTTATTGAAGGGGCTTCTGTCCAGGCAGAGCAGAAGTGCTGAGCCTGCACTCTTGCAGGCCTGGGCTGGGTGGTGGGGTGACCACAGGGGAGGCAGGCCCCTGCCTTGGTCCCGGGAGAGTGCCTTTCATAAACATTTGCCGACGGGTGCATTTGGGCCTGTCGATGCCTGTCGATGCAGACAGGTTCTGTCTGCCCATCAGGACTTGGGATCTTATTGAGTTGTGAGCCTGCCACTGAATGTGCAACCTCCCGCTTCTCCAGCTCTGCACTGGCTTGGGTTGGAATGCTCCCGGCCCTGGATGGAAAGCCTGGTGCTTCTCAGAGCCTGAACTAAACAGGGGTACCAGACAGAAACCAACCAGTCCAGATACAAGCACACGACACACCACAGTTGTCGTGGGGGGTGGGGGTAGGCGGCTGGGCCTGGCCAAAACATAAGAAGGCAAACAGCAAACAGCAAGAATGTACAGGGCAGGGGCACAGAGGGACAGAAGACAGGCAATGACTGACACCTGACAGCCAGAGGGAGGGAAGGGCTGCACGAAGCAGCAGCAGTCCTCTGAGCGGGTCTCCACACCACTAACAACACAAGCAGCAGCAGAGAGAATTGTACTAGATTAATGGTGGAACGGCATGGGTGAGAGCCCGAGCTGGGGGAACAATGAACCCTGTAGGACCAAGGTTCTCAACCTATGGGCTGCAACCCCTTTAGAAGGTTGAACGACCCTTTTCCGGGGGTCACATATCAGATATCCTAGATATAAGATATCTGCATTACAATTTGTAACAGCAGCAAAATTACAGTTATGAAATCGCAATAAAAATAATTTTATGGTTGGGGTTTCGTACATGAGGAGCTGTATCAAAGGGGCGCAGTGTTAGGAAGGCTGAGAACCACTGCTCTAGCAAGTGTGGTGGGTAGGTGGCATGGCTCTGGATAGAAGACCAATGGAAGGCCAGGGTCTATGTTTCAGGGCTTTGGTCTGCTGCAGTCAGTGGCCCCAGGCTGACTCTGTGGTTTTTAGCACTGGCCAGAAACAATCATGCTGGACCGCTTATAAGCCCCCAGGACAACGTCCCTTTATGGTCCTCCGACTATCCTTGGCAAGGAACAGGGACAGATGGCTCCTGATCCCAGCTCTACAGACACAGAGCTCACAGCAAACACTTTCAGGGGACAGCAGTGGTCTCTGAGTCTACTAGTTAGGAGAATACCCGAGGGTCCTGATGCTGGGACAACCAGGTAGGAAGAAACTGCCTGCCTCTTGATCACAGCATCATCAATGTCACTGCAGAAAGGGATGTTCCAGCCTAACCCAGAACCCTGCTTTGACAGTAAGTGGGAGGAGAAACGTGTTCCCGGTTGGGAGACTCATGAAACCAACAGACTTCAGGCCAGCAGACAATGGTAACTGCTCTGCTCTGCTTCCCGGGACCTCGTGAGAGTGCTGTTAAGGAAGTGGGCTTCAAGTTCAAGCCTTGACATCCTAGTGAAGGGTGCACACCCTATTAGAGACGAGGCCCACTGACTCCAGCTCCCCGCGATTCCCTCTGTCCCTTAGCACTGAGTACAATGGACCCCCTGTTTCTCAACTTTGGGGACCTTTGGCATGGGCTACCCACGAAGGGAAGTGGCCAGGCCCTTTACCTGTGCCCATGGCTCTGCTTAGTCACCATGGTGTCCCAAGAATGAGAACAGCAGGGCTTAGGAGTTCCTGGTCATCAGCTCAATAGTCTCCAAGGCCCAAAGTGTCACCTAGATGAAGTCAGCTCGGGAGCACAGAGCTCAGGCAGGAAGTGGGCAGCCCTGGGCTCGAGGGAACAATTGTGGAACCTGAGTTGGGGGACCGTAATGTGGACAGAGGCGGCGACTGGCTTGCCCTTCCTGCTTGCCTGGCCCCACTGCCCTACCTGCATGCAAGACGAGGTGGCTCTGCATATGGCTGTCTTGAGACAAGAGGGCCTAGTCACAGAGGCCTGGGGGCTGTGCACAAGCGAGGGCAGCTCTCCAGACTGTCCCTGTCCCAGCTCCCAACCCCAGAGCCCCAAATCACTCAGGCAAGAGCCAGGCCACTCCTACCTTGGAAGTGTCTGGCCGTCTTCCTCCGCAGAGCCTGCACAGTCACCTCCGAGTCTGCCCACTCCAGAACCAGCCTCCGGCCATACAAGTGGGTGCTGTGGCAGAGCGCGTTGAAGGCTTTCTGGAGGGGGCAAGAGAGAGCAGTTTGTGAGCTGTGGGTCCCACGGTCTTCCTCCAGCCCTGGGACTCTGGGGGTCTGGCAAGGTACTGGGGTTGGCACAACTACCTAATTAGTAAGTTGTGTTGCAAGCGAAAGAGTTACAAGCAGTGAGCAGTCAACATATCCACTCCCAGGACAGGTGGGTCACCCGCTGCCCATGCGCCATCTTCTCTGTGGAAGGTGACTCCAATGACTGTCAGGGTCATCAGAGGACACAGTCCCTCAGGGCTACTCGATGCCACTTTCTTTTGCTGGCCCTGTGCCTATCCCCTATTTCTTCCTTGAATCTGTCCTGTCTGTTTCTGCTGTCTCCTTATTGGTCCCCTGTCCCCTCCACCACGGGCTCCCATGCCCAGTCCAGCAGCACGGGCCTCAAACAGCCTCTTCCTCCTTGCTCTGCCTAGCTCCCTGCCCTTCAAACACTAAATTGCGACATAACCAATAGACGGTCTGTGTGTTTATATGCAAGCATCAGCATGTAGATTCTAGAACATTCTATCACCATCTCAAATGAAACAAGCACCTTGGTTATCACTCCTCAAGTCCCCCAATTCTTCTCCCAGCTCACGGAGACCACAAAACCACTTTCTGTTTTTTCACACGATCACCAGACAGCACTGACTGAAGCCCTCTGTACACATGGCTGTCTGTGAGGCTGAGCAGTCCTGTGCAGAAGTGGCCCCCAATTCTTCCGGAAACACCCATGTCACTAACACAGGACTTCAGAGGCCAAGAGTCTCTGAACTCCAGAGTCACCACGTCTGGAGTAAGGCAGGCCCTGTGCTTCCTTTTCTTCAAGCACTTAGGCAATTTAAGGGAACCTTCTGGGCTCAGCGTCATCAAGCAGAAGGGTGAATACACCTGGGTGTGGGGTCCTGGCGGATACGTGGGGACACAGCGTGGGGACACAGCACGGATACTCATCTCCTGTGCTCAAATTCCCTTTGCAGCTTCTAAGGTGTAGAGGCTGCTCTCGGGGCTCCTGGGAGGGACTGCAGAGCACCTGGGCTCCTCTCACCACACTGACACGTGGAAGAACTGGTTAGCCAGCACAGTGAGGCCTGGAACCAGCCACTGTCCCTTGCCTGTCATGTGACTGCTGTGGTTGGAGCCTCCCCTAGAAGATGTGTTGGGGCCTGACCTTGCACTTTGGGAGGTGACTGTGCTGGAAAACTGTGGTCGAAGGAACCAGATCACACAGGAGCGAGGTGGCCCCAGCTCAAAAGGACTACTGTCAGACACAGGCATAATATCACGTGGAGAGGTGAGTCTACAACCACCAGATACCCAGTATCACCAGCTGTGGTCAGCGAATGGGAAGGAGGCACCGGTTACACTGCACCCCACACTGCTTGGTTTGGGGCCCTGGAACTGCCAGGCAGTGCACTTCTGTTGTGTACGCTTCAGGGTGTGGGAAATAAGGCCACGGCCCTGGGCTAGTCACTGCCCCAGTTGGGTTATGCCCCATCTTGGAAAGGCTGCAGGACTTAGACTAAGTTATAAAGGTGGCACCCAGTGTCCATTTAAGACAGAATCTGGAAGGACAGGAGGACCTGGGGATGGGTGGGGTGGGAAAAGAGGCGTTAAACAGTTGTGTGGCCACGTGCAGAGAGGGAAGGCCTCTACACTCTGTTTTCTGCACTCTTGAGAAGGGCCAGGTGCAGCACCCCACACTTCTCACACTTTTTTTTTTTTTTAAGTTTAATTTAGAAGCCTCTCCTGACTGCCAGCAGAACCCCTGCCATTCTTTTCCAGGCAGATATAAAAATGCATCTGGCCCCCGAGCTGAAATGGCTCATTCTGAGCTCCGAAGCGCGAGTGCTCAGCTGGCAGACAGGGAGACGGCGGGACTGGGGGAGTCAGCCCCTCAAGACCGAGAGAGGAACTGGTAGGGAGTCTGGTGCGTGTCCCTGAGGAGCGGCATCCTGGGGGCACGGCAGTCTGGGACAGCCAAGGCTGCATCTGGCGACTACTCCAACCACACTTACAAAGTAGAAAAAGATCCTGGCAGGGAGGCCCATGAGAGCTGCCCCAACCCAGTCTTCATTTTCTTTCTCAATTTTTTTTGCAATCTATTTCTTCTTTCTCGTACCCCAGAAGGCCTGGTGGTGTTTCTGCTCACGGGAGGAGCTGCTAACAGCTCTTCTTGGTTCTCCCTTTTTCTCCCCCTCTGGCACTTTATCAGCTCCTCACAGTAGAAGGGCTTTCCATACTCGGAGCCGTGGGGGCTGTGTCTCTGCAGCTGGGCTACCTCAGTTCAAATCCCTGTTGTACCACTTCCAAGCTGTGTGATGTTACTCAAGCTGCCTGAGGTCTCAAAACCTAGGCTTCATCACATCTGGATCAAGCAGCAGCAAAGATGGGGGTGGGAAGATTCAGGGAGCCGTCCAGTTGCAGCTTCGAGCACCGCCCCGCGGCAATGCTGTGCTGCAACTAGAGTGGAACAGCGGTGCCTGCATGTGAAAGCTCTTGTTTTTTCTGGAACACAATATGGGGTTCTCCAAAACAGCAGAGCCTTCCAGCTCCGATTGTCGAGGGCTGATAGAGACCAGGTCCTGAGCTGGAGTGTGGCGTGCAGAGCACATGCTGCCTGAGGAGGTGATGTACACTTGTCTGCTGGAGGTTTCTTAGCAGTGGAGTGAGGAGAGAGGAACAGGCCACTTCTGAGGGGCTTTTGGGCCGGGGCAAGGACACACCTGAGATGCATGGAGGATTCTAGACACTTGAGTGGGAAGAATGCGGACCGCTGGCAGCTTCTCCCCTATATCTGGCCCCAGGGAAACCACCTCGCTACCACCTCGCTACCTCCCCAGAGAGGCTAGGCCCAGGGAACTCACTTTCGCCAACACAGCCTGAGGGCTTGTCCCTTGTGGAACGTGCAGTCCTGTGGCTGCTTTTTGTCACCCTTGTGACCAACATTCTTCTTGGTCCCACAGGTCTCCAACCGAAATGACTCGAGTTTATCTCACTGACAGTCACTGGTCTCCCACTTCAACAAGGGACACCTGGGCCTGCTATCTGTTCCATCTCCTTTGCATTGAAGCAGTGGCCTAGTCTGGGGGGGGGGGCTCTGTCACCCTGTGCCCAGCACACCCTGAACCCCAGGGGAAAGGTGCCCTGTCCCTTCCTCAGTTGGGACACTGCTCTCAGAAAACCAGAGTCCCCTTCACCGAGTGTCTTGAGAACATGTCTCCACACGGGGTGGGGAGGGGATGGTGAGCGTGGCTCTGCCTCACACTCCGTCACAGCATTTCACCCCACATTCCAGAACACAGACACAGAGAGAGCACAGCTGGGGTCACTGCACCCCTGATAATGACCTGGACTTGGTCTGGCTCTGCACCTCGCACCCATGGCTTTGGGTCCCTGCTGAATGGAAACAGCACCCACCTTTGATAGGAGACATATCAACCTTTCACCGTGGCCTGCTGGGAAGCCTATGGTCCAGAGTATAACTCAAGGGGCTCAGGGTTGACACAGGGAACGCCAGAGAAGAGCCAAAGCCTGCCATCTCCTGGTGGCCATCACCGGCTACCTCAGCTCCATCCTCTACACTTTGGGAGCCTCTTCCCGGGGCCACAGTCAGTGCTGTCTCCCTATCTCTACAGAGGAGATGCAGATGGGAAGCTGCTGGAGATGAGAGGAGGGAGATGGGAATTCCTTCCCACCCCAACCTCCAGACAACAGCACAGGCCTCACCCCTCTTCCTGAGAGTGTCTATCCTGAGTGTGCTGTGTTACCCACACCATCCGATCCCACAGAGACCACTGCTCATGGCTAGTCCCTCAGTTCCTGGGGTGTCAATCGCTTTACTTGAACCTCTGTGGGGTGGACCTGTCCTAGCTGGACTAACTCCCATTGGCGGGGCTCTGTCTCAGGCAGCTACTATCCCAAGTTGTGAGCATCTACCCCAGCCCAAGTGACCACACTCCATATCGGACGCCCTGTGATTGAGGTCTCAGTCCTCAGGTCCAAGGCCTCCTGCCTCCTCATCCTGATCTCACCTGGAAGACAGTCTGCTCAGGCAAAGTAGGGGAACCAATACAGGTTGCAATGAGGCTGGACCTGGTGGCCATCTTTTAAGACCATGGAAGGTTCTAGAACACTGCCAGTACAGTGTTGTGTTTGACCTCTATCCAGTTTCCCTGAAAACAAATATCTTCCAGCAACCAAAACCATTTAGTGCCCTTGACAGGACTCCAGTCCCATGTGGTTACAGAGAACTGGCTGATCCCCAGCTGTGGGCAGAGGCAAGGATGAACCGAATATTAGATGTCAGTAGTCTTCTGGCCCTGTCCCCCCTGCTCCTTGGGTGCCAACCCTGGCAAAGCCAGAGGGCTGTAGACACTAACACCACCAACCTGCCCTAAATACCTGTGTCCAAAACCTGAAGGGGAAGGGGAAGAGATGGCCTCGTGCAGGCAGGTGTCCAGACACTGAGCACAGGGGGAGAGGGGCCACGTCCTATCAGGCTTGCAAGAAACACTGGGCAGTGACATCCAGGAGAGAGTCTGCCTGGACGGTGCTTTGCATTGCCTCCTCGTGGCCTGTACAATGACGACAGGTCAGCAAACCTTGCCAGCAGCTTCTGGCCTGCCCAGAAGTTGCCTCTTAGATAGGAATGTGTCCTAGCTCTTCGGGAAACACGGGGTGACTTGGGTGACTTCCGCGTCCACTCTGAGAAGTGACACTGTCTTAGTCACTGCTTTGTTGCTGTAAAGGGATACCATGACCACGGCAACTCTTACAAAGGGAAACATTCACGCGGGGGGCTGGCTTACAGTTTCAGAGGCTTAGACCATTATCATCATGGTGGGAATCATAGTGCTGGAGCAGTGGCTGAGAGCTACATTCTGACACACTTCCTCCAACAAGACCACACCTTTTAATCCTTCCAAACAGCTCCATTCCGGGGAACCTATGGGAACTAGCCTTATTCACACCAGACACTGAGGAGCGGAGGGCGATCATTCAAGATGAACAGCCACAGGCTCACTTATAGACTGTACCCGCCTCTAAGAGACAAAGAGATGAATTTCCAGTCATTCCATCAGTTCAATCCAGTCCTCCGAGGACACTGCCCTGACTCAAATGACAAACACTACCGCAGGGCAGGGGTGAAGCAGGGAGGGCAGGTCTCAGGTGGTCAGGGTAAGAGGTGACAGGCAGTGCTGGCCAGGCTGCTCCTGACTATCCAGTAACCCGCTACAAGTAGCACAATGCTGCACTTTTCTCAACTCAGTGTGCGGACCCACGACCCTTAGCTGGTGACCTAAGCAAGGCAGTGGCTGCTCCTTGGTCCTGTGCACACCTCATGGCCGGGTTTCTATCTTCCTGACCTACTGTACCTGACAGGTCTGAAAGGCAAGTCTTTGCTTGGGTCTACAAGGCACCTGGCAGGCCTCGGTCCCCAGAGGTCTGCAGGGTTGGAATTGGCACAGTGTGATCCTGCTTATGCCTCGGCAGTGAACTGGGCAGCACCTGATCCCAGGTTGTCAGCCCACAAGAGCTGGCGGAGCCCGAGTCCCTGCCCTGAAAGGCAAGCGTGGCTAGAATTTGCACCCATTCTAACTGTGTGGTGACAGACGCCTGGCAAAGCAGCACCGTTCACATGCCAGCGTGATCTTGCATACAACACGAATACCCACGCAAACAGAAACATGGGGTTGAGACCCGGACGCCTGGGTCAGCTCTGGCAGCATCCTGGCAGCCACAGAACCCATCAGTGGAGGCTGCCATCCTGCAGGGAACCTCAGGGCCCAGAGGACTCAGCTGCCTCCCCATCCCCAGCATGCGCACCACACCATCTGTTCTCTCATGCTCTGCCACTCCCAAAGGGCGATGTCACCAGTTCCTGCTGTGGGGCAGGGTCACCTGCGCTAAGGGGCCCACATGTGGAACAGGAAGGCAGTTGACGTCATGGGCCACCCTGATCCTACTTAGTTGGAAGAGCTGTTTCCTTGGGGGCCATCCCCACAGGCCCCTCATTCTTGCCCTGCCCACCACATTCTTGCCCTGCCCACCTCATTCTTGCCCTGCACACCCATGCAGTTGTGTGCTACACACACGCTGCCGCGGCTGTCCCGCTGCTCATCACCAATCTCTCCGCAGGGCCCGCTGTACCACATGGCGTCACCAGCCAGCATGAGCCAGGCCATGCATCCTGTCGCTGGCTCCCTGGGCGTCCACCAAGCATGGAGGAGAAGTGGAAAGGAGAAAAGAGAAGCATGAGACCCTACAATTAAAGCGGCGGTTGTTTATCACAGCAGAGCTCTGCTGCCAACGCCAGCCGCCATCGCATCTCCGGCTGCCGGCTCCCCCCGAGTGTTTATTTAAGCCAACACATTGCTCTGCTAATTGGATAACATTCTATGTGAAAATAGGCCTTTTAAAACAACAGTGTCGGTGGCTAAAACAGCTGCAACCACAAAAGTACAAAGGAGCGTGGCTCAGGAGGGAGAATTAAAGGCACCTCGTGTGGGGAACAATTAATATTCTGGGTTCTGGGCATCTGTCTGCTCCTCCCCTCCTTCCCTTTCCTTCCTCCAGGGCCAGCCTGGGCTATGCAAGAAAAGGACAGTGGGGCCTGAATGGAAACTCGGTGCCTATTGGTGGATATCTAGCCAATGGGGGCCAAATCCACCTGCCTGGGACTCCCTACTGCCTGTCCAGGTGAGAGGGCCACACTAGGAACTGGGATGGGCTGGAGGGAGCTCAGCAGCACAGAGGTTCAAGGGCTCCTAAAAGCTGTCTGCATGGGACTTCTTCGCCTCTGCGTGTCTCCACCCAGAGAGCCCTTTCCTAGGGTGAGGTGCTAAAGCTGGGTGGCAGGGATGGCTGTGTGTGGCGGGGTAAACCAATGCTTGACAGGAGGGAGGAGCCTGGCTGAATAACACTGAGCTATTTTATTTCCCCACCTGTCAAGAAATCCACCACCAATGTCCTGGGGGCACTCCAAAGATAGGGTATCAGAAGGGCTTTACCATCAGAGGTACCTAAGAGACCCAGAGAAGGTGTGGCAGTGGTGACAGGACAGGGGGACAACACGCAGGCAGGTCAGCCCAGAGACCCCCCCATAGGTAGGAACGCTGTGTGCCAGCCTGACTTCCTGCCCCATGCTACAGTCTCCTAGTTGACACTGGCGTCCCTCTTTCCTGCAGGGCTAAGCTCCCTGAGAAACATGGAGGCTGAGATAATGTGGACACTTTCAGTAGGACTGACATTCACTGCCTAGAACAAGGGGCTGATCTAACTAACGTCCTAGATAGGGAGATCACCTGCATGCCAAGTCATTTCCTGTGAGTAGGTAAGGAAGGCTCAGGTCACCAGTGCCTGTGACTAGGCAGGTAGTCCAGTCCCTCCTCCCATTTGCCTGAGCAAGTCAGTATCAACCAGGGACCGGCCCTGCAGTTGTGCAGCTGTGCAAGGTCAGGAGAGGGAGGTTCTGTGCTAATCGCCACCTTGCCTATTATTGTCGGGTGCCTGGTTCCTCTTGGTTCTGCCATGTGGCCTTTATAGAGCCTCCTGCTAGGTTTGCTCTCCAGCGTTGTTGTGTGGTCTGATGGGTCAGAGAACCCGAGCGTGTGAGGTGTGAGAACCAAACTCCCCATTCCACGATAAGGAGGGGCCCTCGTGCAGGCTCAGTGGAGCTCTGTGGGAGGGTATACCATGACTCTCAAGACAGTGGGGCCAGGACCAGAACCTGATACCAGGAGCTGAGATGGGCTGGGGTGAAGTGGGGGCTGGCTGCCCACCCCTCCAGGCAGGCACGAGCCCCTCTGGGACTTCCGGCCTCATGATCCTCCATTTAGCCATGAATGCAGCCTCCTGCCTCAGCCCTATTGGCTGCCATACTTCTCTCCCATCCCTCTTCCCTTCTTCTGGTTTTCCTTCTGTGTCTGAGGATGGCTTGAGGAGGCCTCCTAGTGTACAAGGTTGCAGGTGCCAGGGACAAGCTGCCGCTCTGCATGGAGGAGGCATTCAAGAGGGTCAGGGACCATTGGGAGACCCAGGTGCTTCTAAAGGGGCCTCCCTTCTCTCAAACATCACATGATAAAGAAGGCTCAGAAAAGCATGCTCCAAGAGGCAAGGGCCTGAGAGCCCCTTTCCAGCCTGATTGGGTTTCACTCTTTTTCCACTGAGAGTAGCCCCCACCCCCAGGCCATATATGGTGAAAGACTCCATGCTCCGATTGTGGCCACACTGTGTGCAGGGCACAGGCATCCATGGCAAGTGAAAAGTACCCATAGCGCCACTCAGCAGACAACCCAGTTTGGCCGACAGAACGAGGGGATTAGGGAGAGAGGCGCAGCTGCCCCAATAAACAAGAGCAAGGGACCACTGTGGGAGAGGTACTGCGGCTCAGCCCCACGTCCATTAAGATGATCTTACAGGCACAACGGGAAGAACGGGCATGAGTCCTGGCACAGAGGGCAGGACAGGGGGACAGCTGCAAGGATGGAGAGGCCCGAAATAGCACCTGGTGGGGGGCGGGCACAGACAGTCTCCAGGGCCGTGGGCGAGTCCTCGCTGTCCTCAGCTGCCCTTTGTATTTCAGGAACCGAGAATGGAGAGGGACGGAGGGGAGAAGCTGCCGCCTCAGGGCTGAGGGGGTCTGTGCAGGCCAACCGGGTGCCCCAGGGACTCAGGACTGCTCTGTAGTACAGAAGTGGGTGTATGGACATCCACACCGAGCCTGTCCCTCGAGCCTATGTGCCAGGCCAGCTGTGACACTGACCTTGGGCAGGGCAGTCACTGTGTAGAAAGAGGGCTTCTAATTAAGGGGCCGGCACTGAACCCCCACAAGGCAACACAAGGAGCTGGCAGGGCCAGGCCCCGGTCTAAGCGTCAGAACTGAGAGGTGTAGGAAGGGCGAGTCACTCTTCCAAGGTCACACAGAGGGGAAGAAGCCACACTGGCCTCACAGACGGTGAGCATGCAAGTTTGGGGTCGACACTGGTCAAAGAGCTCTTTCGGGGACAGAGAGCTCTTTCTGCTTCTCCCCAGGGCTCCCCGGTCTAGGAGCCTGGACAGGAAACTGACAGTGGCGCTTCCGCCACCCCCACCCTCCTGTCCCATGCCCGGGAATCCCAGAGGTCTCGGATTGCTGCTCTGCTGACAGGTGCTCACAGGTGTGCACAGGCCAGACAGCCTGGGTTGTCATAACTCAGGGCCCCTGGGTTATGGCAATGAGAACCAAGCTGTGCTGAGTATTTGCCATGAGCCCGTGACCCGGCCTCATAGGTTCATCTGCCACAAACTTGGGCGCGGGTCACTACTGCCAATCTGTTTCAAGGTAAGGAAACCAAGGTACAGGGCAAGGCTAGGGAAAGCCACGTTGCCTTCAGTGACAGTGTTTTTCTGGTTGCCAAGGCCTAGTGCGTGCACTGTGCTGTCCCTTCTGTCACCGACGGAGGTGACAAGGGAAGGGCTGCCAGCTGAGGAGGACAAATGTCTAGGCAGTGTGGCAGGCACCTGAAGTGGGGTACCCTGTGCCCGTGGGATGCCCAGGCTGACCTGCCCGGCAGTGCTGATATCCTGAGCTGTCCCTTCTGTTCCTTGTTGCCCGTGGGGCCCCTTGCAACCCCACAGCTGGCTCTCAGAGTCACTCTGCTCCTCAGCAGGCTGCCCCTTGGGAATTGTCCTGGATGCTCTGGTTTTCAAGAAGGAAAAGCTGAGGCAATGGTGGATCAAGGCTGTACAGGCAGGGCTCAGCGTGGGGTACAGGATGGCCCAGCGGCCCTGACCTGTACAACTTAGCCTTCTGGATCTCGAGGCCATAAGAACAGTCCCTAGACGCTGGCGGGGTGCCTGAAGGAGGAGCAGCTGCTGCGCTCCCAGGTCCTGGGTGGGGGTGGTCACAGGGGTATGGCAAGACGGCTCAGTGGGGAAGTTCAACCTTCAGGACCGACGGGTGGGAGAGAGCCAGTTCCTGCAAGCTGCCCTCTCATCTCCACATCTGCACGTGCATGCACACACTGACGCACATGTGCCAAACACATATATAAACAAATCAGCGAAAGTATCCACAGCCCCCGAGGCTGCTCTGCCCTCTGAATAGAGAAAAATCTGCACAGGTGCAATATGTGCTGCAGGGGTGGCCCTTGGTGTCACCAGCACAGAATGGAACTGGCCACAAGTGGAGGGAAGAGGAGGAAGCTGGGTCCCAGCCCAGGCACTGTTTAACTGCTGTCTACAACGCTCAGCCCCAGGGTCTTTTCCCTGCCATAGAGCAGCCTGAGAAATAGGTCAACCCAGGCTCCTGCACATGTATGATGGGCACATATGCAGGCCAACACATACTGCCTGGCCTTCCAGTTCTCTTCCTCCAAAGACAGTGGTAGATCAGCAGCGTCAGAGAAGAGCCGACGGCACGAGGGAGCGGCACTCACCTTCGCATCCTGCTTGGTGACGAAGTCCACGAAGCAGAAGCCCCTGTGCGCGCCTGTCCCCGTCATCTTCTTTGGTAGGCGCACGGTCTTCAGTTCCCCAAAGGTGCTAGAGACAAAAGGCCGACATCGCAGATTAGGGGCTGAGGCCTGCGAGGGAGGCAGAGGTTCTGGACTGAGACTCAGGAGTCAACCCCTGCAGGTTACGGGAGATCGCTGGTTTCAGGGACACCCACCGCCCAGGCACATTCACGTGGCTTCCCACTCCCCCACTGCCAGCCCTCACTCTGCAGGCGTGGCTTCCTTCTTCCTGCTGGCCACCAAGTGGGGGAGGGAGGGCACCATCAGGCTGGAGGTACTGATGGAAAAATTTTGGTGCCTCTCCTGCCACCTGGGGGACACCTGGACACCTGTCCTTTCCCCGTGGGATGAGTCTTGTACACACTGTGCCAGGCTGGGAAGGGACTGCTTGTGTTTGCGAATCAAGGCTCGGGATGTCGGTGTGCTCCCACCGCCCTGTCTTTCCCAGGCGGTCTCCACATAAGCTGGCTGACCCCAAGCTGTGGAATCCTTTCTGCCAACTTGACAGTTCAGCATTCTGAAGACACAAGGTTCCTTCTAACCCTGTGCCCTCCACAAGCTTCCCTTCTGATACCGCTAAAGCAGCATTCTGCAGCAGAATGATCAGGGAACTGTGGCCTGGATGACCCTTGGGGTTGCCCCTCCTCTCCACCAAACTAACCTTTCAAAGACTCTAGGACAAAAGGAATGGGCCTCTTTAGGGTCTCCTGACCACATACCCCAATCCCCATCCCTTTGTAATGTCCATTTATCTAATATATACAAGCACATTGCCAGTGATAAATATTTAATGCACTCGGCATCTGAAGAGAGGTGTTATTTTTATTTGAAAAATCTACACTCTCTGGTGGCTGTTGGGTCCACATATCCACACACCATGGTCTGGGATGCTCCAGGCCAAAGACCGATTGGGTAAAGCACACAGCGCAGGCCATAAGCACTCACAAAATGATATAAGTTAAATCTGAGGCGTTAACCCGCAGCCCTGACAGCATGAGCAGGCATCTGCTGGCCCCATTTCTGAAGGCAGGACGGTGTGTAAAAGCAGCATTATGAAGCCTCAAAATGAATCAGCACGTCCAGCTCTCTCTGGCAGCCACCTTCCCCCCCCCTCCCCCCGCCTCCTGCGCAGGCCCCTGGGAATGAAGCTGGTGACAAGGCCAGCCTCCCCGAGATGGGAAGGAGGCAGAGGGGAGCCTGGCCAGATTCTTTGCTGAGAGGGAGCTCTCAGCTGATTTGGAGGGGGTCCGGAGTCTGAGCAAGTCAGAGGAGAAGACTGGAGAGCTGACAGAGGCACGGAGCCTGCAAACCCTGCTTTATTCTGCCACCTAAAGGCCTGCACATCCCATGACATGGCCTTTGGTCCCGCTTCCCAGTTCCAATGAGCCTGTGGCGCTGCCTGGGACAGGGACAGCCGGGATGCACACAGGCTTGCTCCCAGGCTGGTCCGCAGAAATAGCTCATTGGTCACTGTTGCAGGTAATGACACCTGTGGGGACATTGAGGGCCCAGGTCCAAGGGCTTTACACCCAAGGTAAGAAGGCTAGAAGGTGTGGGGCAACTAGGCCAGCTGTCTCTGACAGAGTGGAGAATGCCAACATCTGGCTCTCCAGATGTACCACATCACCAGCACACCTATTAGCCACCTTCACAATGCCACCACTCACTGTGTCCCAACGTGGGAAAGGGAGGTTGTGTTACTTCAACAGAGAAAGAAGCCACACTGATCTTGCTTATGGCAATGCCTGCAGCCTGGTGCCCAACGCTGCTCTGCATGGGGGTTGCTAGAATCACTTTCAGAATGAACAAACAGGAGACGGCCCAAGAGGTGGGGGTAACTGAGAAAGGAGCTATGAAGTTCATCACTTCAAGTTTTTCTGCCCTATTTTACAAACCAGTGGAGTCCTGGGGAAGCAGCCTGGTTCTGGGTAGGAAACAGCAGGGGTGAGCACCCTTGCTCTGCCACTGGACAGTTCAAGCCTGTTCTGTCCCCCACAGGTACCAGCCACTTCCAGAAATGGGGTTCTTTTTTTCCAAAACAGGACCAAGTCTAGGGTGAAGCAGGAAGTGTGTGTGTGTGTGTGTGTGTGCGCGTGCGCGCACGCGTGTCTTGTGTGGTGGTGGCTGGCCTGCAGAGAATCCAGGGTCCTAGCAAGCTACCCAGGATCATGGGGGAAGGGAGGGAGAACCATGCGTACCTCCTTTCTGTCTGTCTGGCTCTATGTCAGGGGGATGGGGAAGGGAGACAGAGGAGGGGTGCTGCTGAGGTTAATTCCTCCCCTCTGCAACGTGCTGTGAGCCGTGGATGCTTGGTGCATGGTAAGCAGCTGAGGGGCCGGAGGAAGCGAGGAAAATAATTAAAAGGTGGAGAAAGAAGCTGGTGAGGAGGCGGAAGGGGCTGAGCTGCTGTGGGCTGAGGACGTGCATCTGAGAGTGTGCTGAGGGAGCCGCGACAGTTCAGAGTCACTGTGAAGCTGGGCTGTGGAGGACGGGAGCTGGTGGCTTGCCTTTGGGGGAGTCCAGAACCCTGGCGTGGGGCTTCTAGACTGCCAACCTAATGGCCAAGGAAACAGGTGCCTAGAGACCAACCCCAGGAGCGCCAGGGGAACGGCTCCCATGAAAAGTGGCTTCTAAGAACAGGGCAAGAGAACCAGGCCAAGGAGGCGCTGGAGAGTGAGGGTTAGATCGTCTGAAGAACTCCCAATTATCTGCAGACATTCCCAGAAATGTACAGTGCAGGCTTCAGGGCACTGTCATTGCTGCTATAAAGGAGGGCCTCCTGGCTACCTGCCAGGTCTCTGAGGCCTGCCACTCCCAGATGTAACAATGCTGGGGTTCAAACTGTCACAGAGAAGCAAGAGGCAGAGGGCAGAAGGGAGCTCCTGTCCTTGGTGCTCAGGGACAGGGCTGGCAAGAGACTGGCTCTGGGTGCTTGTGTGATGTGGGATCGCAGGAGGCCCAGCACCAAGGACTGCTGAGAGAATTAAAGAGAAAAGAGAAGGTTGGGGGAGAAAAAAAAAAAATCAATGAAGTACCTTTCGTTCCAAGGAGATAAGCGACATATAAATGCCGGCCATTATGAAGGTTCTTATCTGCTGGCCAGGTCTGTGAGGCCAGTTTTTAAAAGAGGCCTTTGAAGGGATTTCCACGTGAACTCTGTCTCCTGGGAGCCAAGGCCATGGTCAGTGGGGAGAGGCTGGGCAGGGCCACCAGGGGCCAGGGAGGGAACGAGGGAAACTGCAGCACCCAGGGATTCATCCCCAGCCCAGCACGCTGGGGGACCGAGCTGCGCACGCTCCCCACTGTGTAGATAATAGAAACCACAAAATAGCAATTACTGTATCAGAAGCTGTGAATAAAGAGGCCAGAGCGGGCTTTTAAACACAGCCCTCCTTCCCTCCCCCACATGCTCACACTTCCCCAACAAACTCACACCTCACTTTTCCAATTATTTCAATCACCCTGGGTTCACCAATTACTCCTGCACTGCGGCCCCACCCCCTCCGCCATGCCGCCACCACCATGATTGGTGGCGAGTCTGTAGGTTTTCAATGACAACTTGAGTTTGCTGTGGGTGGGTGGTTCTGGTTTCTTCAGGTATATGGGGCGGAAGGAGACACCTACGGGCCACTTATATCTGGCTAGGTATGCAAGGCATGTTTGCATACACAGGTCAAGGCATGTGTCCCCTCCCGGCGGGTCTCCTCCATACAGGCCACATTCCCTTCCCCCAGACTCAACTCACATAGTCCTGGCCAAGAAGATGGGCTGAGGGGAAGGAACAGTGAGGGAAGGGAAGGAGAAGACCCTGAACAGATGCTGGGTTGAACGACACAGCTGCTCTAGAGCCTGCCCCTGGGCAAGGAGGGCAGGCTAGGAAGTGGGCCTCACTGTGTGCACGCTGCCTGCCCACAAAGGGGTGGGTGGAGCACATCCTAATCCCAACTGTCCCTGGGGTCCACATCCTCATGCTGCTTGGAGCTCTGATTCTCCAGCTGAGTGTGGAGTCACATGGGAAATTCGCTGGCAGGTCCTCCCCCCCCCACCCGAGCTCAAGGCATTGTTGAGGAAGGGTCTGCTGCCACCCAAGGGACCCAGAGAGCAGTACTGCGGTATGAGCAAGAAGGGCAGCTTTGTGATGGGGTAAACTGCAGGCGTCCTCTTGCCACGAAGTCGTTCAGTATGTCCCCAGCACTTACGACCACGTTACACACGTGCGGCACAGCAAGTGGTGACCAGCACGTTCAGTCACGTGTGTTTTGCAGTGTGTGGGGCAGCCTGGGCTATGGACTCACAGGGCCCTAGAGAGCAAAGCAGTGTCATTTCTGCTTTACAGATGGAGGAGACCCAGGCTGGTCACCTGGAGGTGACCAGGAACAGAGCTGGGGCATGATGGGCATCTGGTCCCCAGGCCTGCGGCTTGGCTAACAGTGTCCACGGCTGAACCCAGGGTGAGCATCCAGACAGCCCACTTCTCCTGGGACGCACAAAACCTAAGACCGCGGGATGGTTTGTCCAGGCTCCCTTGTCTGATCTCTAGCCTTGCAAATAAGCTTAAGGCCATGCACAGCCCACAGCAGGATTTGGGGGCCCCACTGCCCTGGAAGTCATGTCTGTTTGCCAGACCCATGGCCTCAATGCTGCAGGACCTTCGCCTTCACCTCCCTTGTGGTCCAATCAGCTCATTCCCTGCCCCTTCTCGCCTGTTAAAGACCTACAGGGGTTTTCCCTGGAGTCGGCACCAACCGGTCCCATCACTTAAAACCCCTGACCTGGATGTTTCCTCATCCTACCCTAGTCTCTCTACTATCTTCTCAGTTCAAATTTCGCTCCTGCCACTAATGCCCCCTCTACCCTGCTGGCCACTATGAAGACTGTCACCATCTGAACAGCCGATCTCCCTCCCTCTCCTTAGCTAGAAGAAGGCACACTCCGACACGGCAGGGTCGTGCCACTCAGCTGAGTCCATGGAGCGATGCCCAACACGGAGGAACACCCCCGCCTCTCTCTAGTTGCTGAGTCAACACT